TTAAAATAATAATACGCCAACTTGCGGATTTAATATTAATGAAATTTAAAATGTAATTATAATTATTTTTAATTTATTTATATTAAAGGATTTAAACTATTTATTATGAGATAAAAGGAAATACAACTATTAATATCTATTCATTTATTATTGAATATATCTAATAATATAATTTTTATAAGTTATACATATCATAAGAAAATGAATCTTACTCCAATTAATAGAATATATATCAAAAATTTTTACCTAAACATTTGCATTAGTCAAACCCTTTAAAATAAATTATCTCAAAAAATATAATAAAAAAAAATAACTCAAAAAAATAATATAAAACCTCAAAAAAATATATTTAAAAAATACTGTAAGATCAAAAAACCTTAACATCATAAATATTATTTAAAAAATATATCTAACAAAATCTATATATTATAAAAATAAATTTATAAATAATAAATTAATCTCCAATAAATTTATAAAATAGATATAGCCTGACATAGCCTTAAAAAACCAATTCATCGTGCCTACCACTATAACACATTTCCAAAAAAATCAAGCAAAATAAATGCCCAAAATAACACTAGGTTCAATATATTGGACTAGTGTTGCGTAATCGGCTAATTTTAGCCGACTAAAAAACGGCTTAGCCGAGATTTTAGGTGGAAAAATCGGCTAAGCCTAATTAGGCTAAGCCTAAAAATCGGCTAAACCTAAAAATTGGCTAAGCCTAAAAATTGGCTAAAATAAATTAGTCAAAATTCTGCATCGATGCTTAGCATTAATTATTATTTATTTATTTTAGTAAAATAATTTATTTTATTTATATTTAATGTAAATATTATATTATTATCAACAAATAAACATGATATGATTTAATATTTTTTATTTATATTATTATATTTTGAAATGAAAATAAATTTATTTATTTGATGTTTTTTTAATAAAAAAAATAATATGCTGCTATATTTTAAAAATGTAATATTCTTTTTAAATATATCTTTTATCGAGGAATTATATTCTAAATTTTTTAGATAAATAAACAATCTTTTAGGTGAAATCTTTTATCATTTTTTTAAAATTATCTATTTATCATTAAATGAGGTGGATTTTATGAAACTTTTTTGATGTTATTTTATATGATCTTTTTAAGGATAATATTTTAATGTGACAATTGTCATAATCGTTCTTTTATAAGTTTTTTGAATTTTTTTGAAGAAAGTATGTTAAAATAAGTATTAATAACATGTGTAAATATAAATTTAGTGAAGATGTACCAATGAAAAGTGACAATTGTCATAATCGTTAATTTTAAAGTTTTTTGACGAAATTATGTTAAAATAAGTATTAATAACATGTGTAAATATAAATTTAGTGAAGATGTACCAATAAAAAGTGACAATTGTCATAATCGTTATTTTTAAAGTTTTTTGAAGAAAATATGTTAAAATAAGTATTAATAACATGTGTAAATATAAATTTAGTGAAGATGTACCAATGAAAAGAGACATTTGTCATAATCGTTATTTTTAAAGTTTTTTTGACGAAAATATGTTAAAATAAGTATTAATAACATGTGTAAATATAAATTTAGTGAAGATGTACCAATGAAAAGTGACAATTGTCATAATCGTTATTTTTAAAGTTTTTTGAATTTTATTGACAAAGATATTTTAAAATAAGTATTGATAACATGTTTAAATAAAAATTTAGTGAAGATGTACTCTAGATAAGCGACAATTGTCATAATAGTTATTTTTAAAGTTTTTTGATTTTTTTGACGAAAATAGTTAACTTCCATCGATATTGATTTTAAAATAGAAAAAAAAAGTTTACCCAAATTTTAAATAAGATTGTCTGGTGAAAATTGGTAAAAAAATAATAATTTCTAACTTAGGATTAGATATTATGATATAAATTTTGCATATTAATTTCTGACCCGATGAACGGATGTAATAAAATGCCGATTTGCTCCTGTTTTTGGGGAAGAATCTATTATTACCATATGTTTTATCTATGGCACATACTCAGGCAATTTTAATTTTACAATCTATATTTTTACCCATTTACATCAAAGAAATTTTAAAAATAACGATTATGACAATTGTAACTTTTCTATGGTACATCTTCACTAAATTTTTATTTAAACATGTTATTATTACTTATTTTAACATATTTTCGTCAAAAAAATTAAAAAAACTTTAAAAATAAGGATTATGACAATTGTCGCTTATCTAGAGTACATCTTCACTAAATTTTTATTTAAGCATGTTATTAATACTTATTTTAAAATATTTTCGTCAAAAAAATTCAAAAAACTTTAAGAATAATTATGACAATTGTCACTTTTCATTGGTTCATCTTCACTAAATTTATATTTACACATGTTATTAATACTTATTTTAACATATTTTCGTCAAAAAAACTCAAAAAATAACGATTATGACAATTGTCACTTTTCATTGTCTTCACTAAATTTATATTTACACATATTATTAATACTTATTTTAACATATTTTCGTCAAGAAAATTCAAAAAACTTTAAAAATAACCATTATGACAATGTCAATTTTCTATGGTACATCTTCACTAAATTTTATTTAAACATGTTATCAATTCTTATTTTAACATATTTTCTTCAAAAAAATTTAAAAAACTATAAAATAACGATTATGACAATTGTCACTTTTCTATGATTCACTTTTATTTAAACATGTTTTTAATACTTATTTTAACATATTTTCTTCTTAAAAATTCAAAAAACTTTAAAAATAACGATTATGACAAATGTCACTTTTCATAGGTACATCTTCCCTAAATTTATATTTACACATGTTATTAATACTTATTTTCGTCAAAAAAATTCAAAAAATTTTAAAAATAACGATTATGACAATTGTCACTTTTCATTGTCTTCACTAAATTTATATTTAAACATCTTATTAATGCTTATTTTAACATATTTTCGTCAAAAAACTTTAAAAATAACGATTATGACAATGTAAATTTTCTATTGTACATCTTCACTAAATTTTATTTAAACATGTTATCAATACTTATTTTAACATATTTTCTTCAAAAAAATTCAAAAAACTTATAAAATAAAGATTATGATAATTGTCACTTTTCTATGGTACATCTTCACTAAACTTTTATTTAAACATGTTTTTAATACTTATTTTAACAAAAATTTTAAAAACTTATAAAATAACGATTATGACAATTGTCACTTTTCTATAGTACATCTTCACTAAATTTTTATTTAAACATCTTATTAATACTTATTTTAACATATTTTCTTCAAAAAAATTATAAAATAACGATTATGTCAATTGTCAATTTTCTATGGTACATCTTCACTAAATTTTTATCTAAACATGTTATTAATATTTATTTTAACATATTGTCGTCAAAAAAATTCAAAAAACTTTAAAAATAACGATTATGACAATTGTCATTTTTCATTGGTACATCTTCACTAAATTTATATTTACACATGTTATTAATACTTATTTTAACCTATTTTCTTCAAAAAATTAAAAAACTTATAAAATAACGATTATGACAATTGTCACATTAAAATATTATCCTTAAAAAGATCATATAAAATCATCAAAAAAGTTTCATAAAATCCACCTCATTTAATAAAAAATAGATATTTTTAAAAAAATGATAATAAAATTATAAAAGATTTCACCTAAAAGATTGTTTATTTATCTAATAAAATTTACAATATAATTCCTCAATAAAAGATGTATTTATAAAGAAGATTGTGAAAATCACTAATAAATTATATTAAAAAGAATATTACATTTTTACAATATAGCAGCATATTATTTTTTTTATTAAAATAACATCAAATAAATAAATTTATTTTCATTTCAAAATATAATAATAGAAATAAAAAATATTAAATCATATCATGTTTATTTGTTGATGATAATAATAAAATATTTACATTAAATATAAATAAAATAAATTATTTTATTAAATAAATAAATAATAATTAATACTAAAGCATCGTTGCAGAATTTTGACTAATTTTATTATAGCAGATTTATATAGGCTTAGCCAATTTTTAGGCTTAACCTAATTAGGTTTAGCCGATTTTTAGGCTTAGGCGTAGTTTTTAGCCGATTACACAACACTATATTGGACTATAATTTTAATGGTTTTCTATAAATAGGTGTTAATAAAAAAATTAACCATGAGTTTTCTTTTGCTTATTTATAAATTAGATAGAAAATTTAATTTATATCTAATATTTAATATTATTTTTTCCCAAATCCTGGTGTAAAATATTGTTCCTTTGAAAAAAATAATTTGTTGATAAAATTCTGCACAATAAATAATTATATTATCCTTATTCAATATTCTCACCAAGGGAGCTAATTTCATTTTTTCTATATTTATTTTATTTTTATGAGGGGCAAGTATTATGATCAAGGTAGCAATTTAACTATATTTATTTTATATACCCCTAGGGGGGGGGCAAATATTATCACCAAGGAAATTCATTTTTTTTCCCTATATTTATTTTATTTACCAATTGAGGTGGAAAATATATTAACCAAGGGAACTAATTCTATCCTTTCTATATTTATTTTATTTAACCATGGGCAACTTCATATTTTCTTTATTTATTCTATTAACACAGGGAGGGAGCTTATATTATCATCAAATCTAATATTTTTGTTTCTATATTTATTTTATTTACCCACTGATGTGACAATTATCACCAAGGTGACAAATATATTTTATATTTTTAAAATTCTACTACCCATTCTAAATATTAAAAATGGTATGCCTACTCAAGGTGAAACTATAATTTTATGCTATTTACCCCCAAGAGGCAAATATCCTTGGCCAATTTTTACAGGGAATTTCTTATTTGATGTCTGCTGCCAATCCAAGAGAAGTGGATATTGTATATTTAATATAAGCAATTTATTAAAATAATTAATCTAATATTAACATTAATAAAAAAATTATCATATTTCCCTTACAAATTAGACATAGACTCTGAATATTGATCTGGATACCTATAAATTAAAACATATTTTATCTTAACCAGACTACAATCTTTGACAATAAAATATGAATCAGGAGTGCTTTTGTCATTTGAATCTAATATTTAAATAATAAAACATAATATATTAATTAAGGTTTACATTTTAAATCTGATGAGTTGTTATCATATATCTCACAAACTAAAACAAAAGAAATATATGGGCCCATAATACTTTTCTCCCATGATTTACCACGACGACTATAATTTAATACCATAGAAAGCTCAGAGGACAGATAAATTCCATCACCAAATAAGCCATCCTGAAATAAAATTAAATATTTTAATTGGAAAGATATTAATACTCTGCTAAACTGAGATGACAAACCATTTGATAAAATGGAATATAAATTATCTAATGATGATCCATGATATGCATATAATTTTTTTGAACAATTTAAAACAAAAATTTGTTCTTGGTAAATCAATTTAAATATAAATTGAGGGATTGGAGCATTAAAATGTTGTTTTGTTATCTTCTTAATGTTGTTAAACTACCTATTTAATGCAAATTTTTAAAAATTCAAATTTTACCTCATTATTTTGGCATAATTTTATATTGAATGTATTCATATTTATAATTGAAAATATAAGCATTTGAATCTTATCATAAATTTTATAATTTTCTTTAAGTAGCTCTATTAAAGGTGGTATCATTGCTATATGTTTACCCTAAAATAAAGATATCTTTAATGGTTATGGATATATTACCAATTGGTCATAATTTTTTTCTCCGTTATATATGTAGTCCTTAGGAAAAGGACATAAAATTTTATCTTTTCTATAGCTATGAAATGCAGATATAAATGCCGATAAAATAATATCGTAAGAATAGAGTGTATCGGAATTAAGAATGATTGATGATTTCACCATTTTTCCTTGAATTTACGATTAGCCTAACTTTGATCGTAAAGTCATTTGATCGTAAATTTTGTCCATTTTTCTCTGATTGGTCTATTTAATCGCGGTAAATTAAAATCATTTAAAAACATTATGCTTAATACTGTAGCTGATAATTTAAGACTATTTTTTAAAAGAAGAAATGAATCATTACAAAGTATTATATATTTAATTTGATTTTTAAAAAAATATTTTTTTAGAGTGACACAAAATCATCTAACAGCTGAAGGTATATTTAATACTAAACTTATCTAGATTACATACATTAATTTAGATAAAGATTCTCCATGTAATATAGATCAGAATATTAGCCAACTCAGTAGCTCATCTAGTAATCAATAAGTAACAAATAAAATAATTATTTTTGAATAAACAAGCTAATACAATTCAACAAATACAACCACAACATATACAGCCCCAAATATTACAACCAATTACTAGAGATAACTTTTACCCTCCAATTTCAAGTAACAAAATTAATTGTATAAATTAATAAACATTTTTTTATATATATTAACAAATGTGGCCCAAATACAAAGTTTTGCATTTAACCACACTAATAATCAAACTACTTTTACAAGTAGATTACAAATATTTTTTTTAAATTATATTTTAATATAATTAGACCTGGAAGACATTAACAATGCAGGAATTTTATTAGACTTACATAATTCCAACAATGAAAATTTAAGTAAATAAATTATATTATTACATTTACATAATCTGATTATTACATTTACATAATCTGATTATAAATAATTTATATTTTGACACTGTAATTTTTAGATATACAATATATTCCAACTTCAAAAGGGAATTTGTGCTTGTATCATGATGGATAATATATAACAAAAGAAAAGAATATTCAAAATCTAATTACTCAATATAATTTAAAAATTATAAATAAATATTTATTTGTTTAAAACTTATGTATAATTATAATATAGATGTATAATAAAATATAATATTCTGACCAAATTATCAATTAATTTTATTTATAAGTTATAATTATCTAATAAATAATAAATTGTAATCATATTTATCAGTTGCTTCTATTTCCATTATTTAAAGGAGTTCAAAATCAGTAGCTCTTCTTTCTTCATTATCTAATAAATAATAAATTTTAATCATATTTATCAGTTGCTTCTATTTCCATTATTTAAGGAGTTCTAAATCAGTAGCTCTTCTTTCTTCATTATCTAATAAATAATTGATATATGTTTATTAATAGGTATATATTATTACACTAATCTGATATAAAGAATTAGAAAAATATTTCATTATTTAAGGAGTTCAAAATCAATAGCTCTTTCTTCATTATCTAATAAATAATAAATTTTAATCATTTTTATCAGTTTATTAATAGGTATACGTTGTAATCATATTTATAGTTGCTTCTATTTCCATCAATTAAAGGCATTCAAAATCAGTAGCTCTTCTTTCTTCATTATCTAATAAATAATAAATTTTAATCATTTTTATCAGTTTATTTATAGGTATACATTGTAATCATATTTATAGTTGCTTCTATTTCCATCAATTAAAGGCATTCAAAATCAGTAGCTCTTCATTATCTAATAAATAATACATTGATATATGTTTATTAATAGGTATACATTATTACACTAATCTGATATAAAGAATTAGAAAAATAATTCCATTATTTAAGGAGTTCAAAATCAGTAGCTCTTTTTTCTTCATTATCTAATAAATAATAAATTTTAATCATTTTTATCAGTTTATTAATAGGTATACATTGTAATCATATTTATAGTTGCTTCTATTTCCATCAATTAAAGGCATTCAAAATCAGTAGCTCTTCATTATCTAATAAATAATACATTGATATATGTTTATTAATAGGTATACATTACTACATTAATCTGATATAAAGAATTAGAAAAATTACGTGCATATAATATGAATTAAAAAATCGACCATTTTGACCTGAAATGGACAAAGGTACCATTTTACGATCAAAATAATACGATCAAAGGAGGCCCTCCCGAATTTACAATATAATACTAGATTTTTGCAAGGCAGATGGCTGATAACCTGTCACTGACATCTAGCGTAATCTTGCACTCATAGAAAGCGAAATCAAGGCGTAAAATACAAAATGCAGTAAATTTAATAACTCATTCAAGTTCGTGTGTATTTATTTTGGGTTTTAACAATAATCTGAGGAGCATTAAATGCATAAATATAAAATTACATTAGGAAACCCGTATGATTATTGGCAGCGTCTACATGAGAAGGGTGGATAGGGGGGGAGTAGGAATAGTTTGCATCCAATTATTTTGAGAGGGAGGGAAGTAGGCATCTTTAAGAGGGGTAGGATAAATATTTTCGGGGGTTTTCTATTAAATAAAATAGGGCTAAGTATCAAAGTTGTTAACGCTCCTTTATAAAAGTAGCTAGCTCCCGATCTTACCTTCTCAAAAGGAGCAAGCTTCCGCTCCCGCTATACATTTTTAAAAGGAGCTAGCTCCCGCTCCAAGTAATGGAGTGCCACTCCATCCTTTGATTTTCATTTTTTTAGAATGTACACGCCGCAAAATCTTATTTTTTTTATCAAAAATGTTTTATTTATATTAAATGATATATCAAAATATTTCTAATCTTTTATTAGCTTTTAAAAATAATAAATTTTTTAAATTTGAATCTAATCCACGCTACTACCCAAAAACCTGTTTAACAATACTAAATAGGCGCTCAACAGGAATAATAGAGGAAAGCTTTTCTAATTCAGAAAATTTATCAAAAATAGTAATTTTGATATCATTATTTATAAAATATTTGTACTATCTTCATGAAATCCAAAAAAATCCAAATCATTGCAAGGTTCCTGTGAAAGTAGCTATTTTGACATCAGGAATTTGAAATTAATTAATTTGTATTTTAGTTCCATATTTTGTGCACATTTTATTAATACCCAATAAAGTTGAATGCAGTATGGATAATAGCATTTTCATCATTATAAACATTTGAAAATCTGTATTAAAGTCATTTAAATAGATAATTTATTTTTTATGTCGATTTCCTCTTCTATGATGTCTGGATCCATAATATCAAAAACTATTTTTTTTCATATATCTATAAAATGAATATTAATATGACTTACAAGATTTTCCAAGAAATTTTAAATATAAAAAGGAAGAAAAACTTGATGTTTAATATTTTTACTGATTAGATTAAAAAACATTATAAAAGGCTCAACATTTAATATTGTATAAATTTAAATAAAATAAAATAAAATTTTTTTAAATTTTATTTAAAAAATAATTCAATTAATACATTAAATTTAATAGAGCCGTGGAGCGGCGCTCCTCCACTTCAGCCCTAAAATGAGCTAATTTCAGCTACAGCTCCTGATTTAGGTGTTTTTGAAAAAGTGAATAGTGCTCAAGGAATGCCGCTCCTATGACATATAATAATACATAGACTAACGATTCATTCATTAAAATGCAATTTTAAGCTTATATGAATTCAAATCAGCGGTGGATGCCATTAACACCATCTTAATTGCCCCTATGATAATTTGTCTTAGTACCTAACATTTAAAGTAAAATATTATATTTAAGTAAATATTTTAATAAATACTATGGTATATTATAAATAATTATTTTCCCATAGTTAGTTATTAATGCCATGATCTGTTAAAAATAGTCCATTATTTATGAATATTTTAGTTTGAGTAATTAAATCTGATTCTATCAGTGGCGTATCCAGAAATTTCCTATGGGTAGGCGGGGGATTTTTTAGGGCGAAGATTCCAAACCCCAGTTAGCTAACCTTCGGCCACCTTTTTTCCTGCCTTCGGCCGGGTTTTATGTTTGAACTATTCAATTAAATTATAAATAATTTAATAATAATTATATTTTTTTTTTTAAACAATATATTCTTATTTAATTTACATAAAACCTAATTAAAAATAATATAATTTATAAATTTATAATTATATAATTAAAAATAAAATTCTATAAATATTTTAACTTTTATTAATTCGCGCTTATGGTTATTTAAAGAAGAAATAAAGGTTATAACCCAATTTTTTATTATTTTAAGTTAGGTGTACTATATTTAATAAAAAAAACATTTAAATCTAAAATTGAAATAAAGCTAAGTGACATTTTTTTAAATAAAAATTTGCTTTAAAAATTGGCCTAAGCTTAAATTCTCATACTATATAAGTAGAATAAAAATTTTTTATTGAAAATACTAATTGTAGTATGTATAAAATATTGACTAGAAAATGATTTAAAAAATCAGTCTTTAAAGCTTCTTAGCAAATACAAAATTATACAAAAAAATTATTAAATACTATAATTATAATGTGATTTTTAATTTTCATGGGAAATTTGCCAATTAATCAAGAATTTAGTTTGTCGTTGGAACCAAATCTCTTTGGATATTTTACAGAGCTAATTCATCTATCCGAGATTCCGGAGTAGTATATCATAAATAAATATTTAATCTTCTCAATTTGGAAAAGGTCCTTTCATTCGTATATGTTGTATTAGGCAAACATTCAAGAATTACAACTTCAAAATATTTTGAAATTGAGCTAAGGTTTCCTTACACCGATTGAGCGCATCAATAGCATGCTCAGATAATATAACCAAACGTAGTTTATATTTATACCACATTCGAATTCTTAGATTAAAATGATTTCAGCATCACAATATTATAGGAATAAAATTTGCTAAATATTTAATTTTACCAATAGTGGCATCAAGAAATGAAGAAGGGTTTTTAGGTAATAGTTTTAATTTAATAACGATTTTATAACTAATACTTAACCTGATTTTCATAAAATATATGCTACCTACCTTTTCCATAATATTCTTCAATTTGTATTTGTTCATTTTGTTTCATGCTTAGCCTTATTTAACTTTTGTATTTCTATTTCTTCTGTTCTATAAAATTAAAGAATGAACAACATTTAAAAAATTCTAGATATTTATTAATAATTAAAATAATATAAAACTTCCTAACTCACTAAAAATTTTGAATTTGATAAAATAATCATAATAGATAAACTAGAAATAATCATAATGATAAAACAATTCCGTTTTATTTCTATCGCTTTAATTAAAAATTTCCCAATTTATTAATGTTTTTGAATAAAGTTAATATACTCACAAGGAAAGGAAATTTTAATAAAATTTATTTTTAAAAAATAAGTTTTATGTTGGAAAATTGATATTCAAATATTTGCAAAATTTTGACTGTAAGGGGGGGGGGATTTTTATTAGCTTTAAAGAATATTTATGAAAACAGTCAAATTTCCATTAAGCTGGATTCTATATTATAATGCTTATTTGATAAAATTATATCTAAAATTTTCCTAAATTGTCTATAAATATCTTTAATTTATAATTACAAATAATATATCTTATTTAATTTAAAGATAGATTGATATAAGTTGCAGTACATCAAGCAACAATACATGCTCAACTATTAATAAAATAATTTTTTAAAATTCATTTTATTTATTATATTATAAGTATTCTTTTTTGTTTTAAAACATAAATATTATTTTTTTTTTAAGATTCTTTATCAAGAATAAAATTTTATTAATTATATTGTAACATGTAATTTTATATTTATATTTAATTAATAATAAACATAACCATATTTTTATGAAAACCTATATCATCATCGGATGTTCAAATAACATTCAATTATTAATGTTATAAGAATTTGACAATAGGTAAAGAGTGCTTCTTGATTAGGTATATGATAAATAAGATAATCAAAAACATTTGTTTGATTTACTTCTGAAAAAATAATTTCTTTTTATTAGCAATGATCTTCAAAAACACGGAATGCACTTTCAGAAAGTTGTAATAATATTTATCACATTTAGAAGGAATTATTAACCCCTTATTGTGTTTTATTTTTATTAAATTATAAGCATTACTATTTTTATGATTTTGATTATCGATCATAGCTTTTATGCAGGTACATAAGCGTAGCCAGGGGGGGGGCAAAGGGAAATCTCCCCCTCCACTTCAGAAATTTATCACTTTATGTAAATATCACTTTTAGCTAATAAAAAATACCCCTTAGTCTTCCCCCCACTCCCTGACCCTCAAAAATGTTTGCATATATCTTAAACAATAATTTGAAAGAAAGAATGTAAAAGTTGATGTTTTTTATAAAACTATTCATCATAATTTATACATTTTTGGGAAAATAAATTTATAAATATATAAAATGAACCAAAAATGTTTTTTGATAAATGGAATATAAGCCAAAGATAAGTCTTAAGACAAAAGGGAAATGTATTATAATTATTAATAATAGATCCATAAAATTACTAAATAATATAATATATCAAATATAATTTTTTATAAAGTGAGTAATTCTAATTTATTTATCTTAATAAAAGTAAAATATAATTATAAAACTATTGATACAATTAAATCATAAATTAATAAAAATATCAAAGCACAATACAAACAGTGGAATATTATATGTCGTAGATTAACAGTATATCTAATTTTATCAGGTAATTTTACCAATATAGCGAATTATATATTTTACAAGAAACTATAGAAAAGGACATCAGAAAATATCTTTTAAAGACATTGTGGGATGTATAATATGAAAATTAAATTTTAATGTCATTTTATCTTAAAAAAATAGATGGCGTTAAATAATTGTATGCAAATTGTTGCTATATTTTATTTATTATC